TCTCTTGCCCCAAGCTCTTTTATCTGAGGAAGGAGAAAGCTTAGAGCTCTTGTAACTACGACTTTATTGGCAATGTGTAAGCATGTGAAATGTACAACTGAAATTTGGCAAGTTGAGCTTTACTGAAGGCACAAAACAGCTAAACTCTCTTGTGCTGCACTGAAGGGTGTTGTGGAGGCCAGGCATGCATAACGCTTGTTGATGTAAGACAAACACAAAGTGAATTTATTAGTAGTATTTAGTTTAGAGAATTCCCCAAGTCATCAGTTGCCAGGAACAGTATATTCTTGGGAAGGAATGTTCTTGGGTAGGGCAACTGTTGTGTCTGTGCATCTGCTACTGACCACTCCTATGGAGGAGTTGCTGGCTGAGGTTAATTTTTCATTCAGCTTCCTATGGCAGATCTTAAATATAAAGTAGCTCTCATCACCAGGAAGTGTTCTCGTAAGCCTAATGAACATTTTAGTACCTGCAGAGTTACAGAATGTCAATTTTTTGAGGACTAATGTTCATCTAGGTTACAGATTTTTATATGCTATAGTTAATCCTTTTTATGCAGGATACTTTTAGGACTCTAAATGAGGATATGAAGCTGTATTTGAAGCTGGTCTAGTTGCTTATGAAAGTATTGATTGCTAAAGTGAAAATTTGCTTTAAAACCAGTTGAATCAGTGGTTTATTACTGTATATTCTCTCATTATGTGAAACTCCAGAGCACTGAGTTAGCAGACTTATATGCATACATATACACATTTGTATATGTAACTTGAATGCACTTCCTCATTTCTCAGACTCAAAACTACTTTTATTTTTCTTGGAGCTTCTTCAGCATCGACTGGATCAAGGTTTACTTAGCTGCCTGTGTTGTTTCAAAATTTTGGCATTATTGGCTAAGCATACTTTAAGCTAACTTGTCATTCTTTAAATTCTTGATATCTGTCTTGCTAAGTATTGGCAGTTCCCTGTGTTCTGTACTGAGCAAGCTCTTGAAAGAGGTAAGACTGCTGCCTGGATCTGAGCTAATGCTAAATCAAAATGGAATCTTAACGTTTTTTGCATGACTAGGTGAGCAAGCTGTGTGATAGGCAAGTCTCCAGACAAGTAGAAACTAGTTTTAATGTGTCAAAACAACAGTGAAAGCAAAGTTTGCAAATATTTTTCGGCAGTTGATTCTGTGATTGACATAAATCACTGGAAAATTATTCAGGACAGGTTCTTGCCCTGCCTTCAAGGAAGACTTTTGGAAGAACTCTCGAATCTGCCTTAGGTTTCCTAATGGAAGATGAAAAGGAGGGAAATAAAATTGTTCATACTTCTATAGGGATTGAATAATAGTGGGTATGGAAAGGATCTAGACCAGCCCTAAGGAGCCAAGAGACTTTTAAGATAGCCAAACCATTTCATCTTGGGGGAGTAAGGGGGGGACAGAGGAGGCGGTTGTCTGATCTTGTTAGCTTGTTGTTTCCTTGTTCCTTGGTCTTTTTACCCTCAGTGTGAGACAGATGTTTAAAGTTCCATGTAAAGATGAGGTTGTGGGCCAGAAGCCACTCTGTGTTTGGTCCGTAGTGAGCACATAAATTCCTGCAATTCTAGGACAGTCTTAATTTGAGTGCTGCTTTTGTACTCAAAACTGTTTACAGGCCCTACAGCCCGTCTGGAAAGCTTTATACTTTTTGTTGGTATGAAAAAGGATTTATTTTGAATGTAGTTATTCAAACTATGTCTCCAGCTGAAGAAAATAACGTTTAAGGAAAAATATCAGCTTTTTGAATGATGCGTTCTTGCTTTTAGTAACTTAACTTTCACTACATAGTGTCATGGCTTTATTTTACACTTTCCAAGTATTTGTTGGTAAGTTTGTTTTCTTTCCCCTGCTGTGGTTTCCAAAATGGTTTATATGGTTTCTGTGAGGATTTAAATTTATTTGTTAGAGAACAAATCAAGAGTTGCTTCTCTTGTCATGACAAACTTGTTTCCCAAAGCAGTCATTGATTCCTGTATGAAAATATTATCAGGGAATTATTCTTCAGTGTACCTAATCAACATCAAGATAGCAGAAACTTCCCATTATTATTATTATGTTTTATGATCTCGTAGCTTCCTTGACCCATCTCAGTGGATTGTGGATTGAAACCAGTATTGTCACCCTAGTTGAGATGGTTGACAGTGCAGATCAGAAATTTTCTCTTTTTCTGTTAGCTCTGGATTTTTAGTCTGTAGGGACTCCACTACTCATTGTGATTAACTTACAGTCAAATAATTTCAGACTTTAATATATTAGTGTGCATTATTCTGTCCATCCTATATACTTAATCCTGATGTTCATGTCCTGCTGCTTTCTTCCCACCAAATTTCAAATATGTCATTATATCAGTATCCTCATTTGAGGACATCACACTCTGGTGTCTGCATTTTAGTTAAACATCACTGACCTGTTTGCTCATGGATTTTTTAAATTTTTTTTTTTTAATGGCAAGTGTCTGCCTCCTTCCTGTTCGTTGTTTGGAGAGTGGAATGTGTCACTCCAGATGTGTGATGGTGTTCAACACCTGATCAGTTTCCCTGTTCCTCAGTTGGGAAGCTGACCTTTGTCAATGAACGCATCTTCAGACCAATTCCCTTGTTGGATCCAGTGAACTCTGTCCCTCCCATTTAGACTTTATTGCTCTGAAAGTGACCCTTCCTGCCAGATTCCCCATCTCATAAATCTGAAGTTCTTCCTACCTCTGGGCTCATTTCTGGTAGTAGGAGCCTTTCATATGGAGTCGTACTATGGAGGTAATCCAGCTGCTTTGGACAGTTTGGATCTTCTCTCTCATTCATGTCCTTGTGGTTTTGGTACCTAGGTACAGTCTTGCTTGCCAGGAACTTGTCCTTATATGTTGCAAGGGTTCTTCTTCAATTTTTGGGGTTTTGTAGTTTGTTTTGGTCTGTCTGTGTGTTGTGTGTGTCGTCCGTCGTCCCCCCCGCCCCCCATCTTCCTCCCCACCCTTGCACTTTCTGCTTCTGTAGGATTTTGGGTGAGGATATGTGGCTCTGCTGGGCTGGAAATGACATTGGAATTGTTTCCCCACTTGGCTAATCATGTCTTTATAGAACATGGAGGCTGTTGCTACGTAGGCAATTGCTCTCCAGTAACTTTGAAGGGTTTCCATGTGCATGTACCTGTTAGCTACCCCGCAGCACTGGGGTAGTGTAACGGCGTAACTCCAGAGCTGATTATGAACCTTCATGTCTTATCTTTATTTCAACTTCGATATCTTAAAACAACTCTGATGATCTTGAGCTGCCTCTGCTGTGCAATGCTTCCTCGAAAGGCAGGAAAACAGCCTTCAGTGCAGAGAACTGCTGTCTGGCTGTCCTGGTTTCAGCTGGGATAGAGTTAATTTTCTTCTGGTAGCTGGTACAGTGCTGTGTTTTGGGTTTAGTGTGAGAATAATGTTGATAACACACTGATGTTTCAGTTGTTGCTAAGTAGTGTTTATACTAATCCAAGGACTTTTCAGCTTCTCATGCCCTGCCAGTGAAGAGCTGAAGGTGCTCAAAAAGCTGGGATGGGAGGGACATAGCCAGGACAGCTGACCCAAACTGGCCAAAGGAATATTCCATACCATATGATGTCATGCCCAGTATATAAACTGGGGGGAAAGCTGGCTGGGGACTGCTGCTCAGGAACTGCCTGGGCATCGGTTGGCGAGTGGTAAGCAGTTGCACTGTGCATCACTTGTTTTGTGTATTCTAAATTATTATTTTTTTTTCCTTCCTTTTCTGTTTTTTTTTTAAACTGTCTTTCTCTCAAGTTTTACTTCCCCCTCTGCCCCCCCTGCTTCTCTCCCCCTTCCCACGGGGTGGGGGGAGTGAGTGAATGGCTGTGTGATGCTTAATTGCTGCCTGGGGTTAAACTACAACACTGGGGTTGTTACTGCTCTTTGCTATGTGCATCAAGGGATGAGCACTGAAGGCTATCTTCACTGGGATTCTTAGAGTTGCTGTTATGTTGCTGCTCTGGTGTCTGTTCTAGACCTAACCTTATACAGCAGCATTTTGTCACTATTATGACTTACATCTCTCTTACTTTCCTGCCTTCGTGCAAACTTGTACATAAGAACATGTGTGTGACCAGACACAGTCAGACTGAAGATCCACCTAATGCTGTGTCCTGTCTCTAGCAGTAACTGGGCTAAATGCTGAGTAAAGAGTATAAGAACAGGATGAGCGTGTAGTGATTCTTCCCTAGAGTTCTCCCAGCTGCTTGCAGCTTGTGACTGAGCTTCTTGAGTCAGTTTGGTATCCAGCTTTGGACAGATTTTTCTTACCTGCTTTTGTGTGAGCCTGTGTGAGCTTTTGGCTTCCAAGCACTGTGCAGTAAGAAACTTCATAGTTTCACTACACACTGTGTGAGGAACCGTGCTCTTTCGTTGGGTACCTGCTATTGGAAGAGGGAAAAATGATGGTTCATTCTATCATGTAGTTCCTCACCTACCTACCTTTTTCCTGTTGAGGAGCCAAATCTTTTTGTATTGTTCCTTTCCTTGTGTGGAAGCCGAGCAATCAAAGTATCTGAGAATGCAACCCTGAAGTCACACCTGACTGCAAATGACCAGAGGGTTCAGAAGTTGCTTGGCAGTCAGGGAAGTGCAAATGGCTTGTGAAGGTAAGCATGCATGGATGGCATTGTTATGAAAGCCTAATTTACTTAAGGAAGTTGGCCAAAATGGCTGCGCTTGATTTGAAGACTAATAGCATAAAAATGCTTACTGTCTTAAAATCCTGGTTTGGCTCATTGTTTTTAATTTCTTTTTAATTCCAGAACTTTTGAATCTTCTTGGGAAACACGAAAGTAAAGAAGTACTTTTAAAATATTTTTCAGGAGAGCTGACACGTTCCAGGGAGAGGCTCTTTTTTATTTCTTTTTTTTTCTGCAAGGCTCAGAAGAGTCTGTATTCTCTGGGATTTTAAATAAGTATAAAATGAAACCAGTTTAAAATTTAGCTTTCGAAATGAATGTTGAAAAGTCAGATGACAAAGCAAAGAATGGCTTGAAGTCTTCCTTACTTATAAGAGATGAAAATGGAAATAACTATGCATATGACAGAGCTACACCTTCCTCAAAGAATTGTGCCACCGAGATACACGGTAATTCAACTGACCAAAGTATAGTGACTGAGCATGAAGATGATACTGTTCTTGAAAATAAGAGTGACTTAAGAAGTATTCTTTTAAAACAGCAGTGTATTGAAGCTCTTCATCTGCAGAAGACACCTGGTAGATACAACTGCACAGGAGCTCTGTTGGGAGATGCAGATGCTGCATGCACGTCTTCCGTGACTGAACAGACTTGTGTGTATCCTTTGAACTATGACTTGAAAGAAGCAACAAACTTAATGAAGGGTAACATTGCTGTGGCAAAAATGCAAAATCAGTGTATCAAACAATTGGTGCCTTACAGTCGGACTGACTCGAAGTGTGTATTACCTCGTCCTGCTTCAGAGCAGAACGTGCAGTCCCTGATAAATGACAGAGCATGCTGCCACCTGAGCACAGTGGATGTTACTAATGTTACAGGTGAAACTCTGGAACCTGGTCAAAACGATGACATGAGTCTGAGGGAAACGCTAATCTCTCCTGAAGTATGTGCAAGAGAGAAAATTGATAGAACCAGCTCAGAAAGAACACCTTATTTCTCTTCTGTGATACTGGCTTCGGAAAGCTCAGATGCCTATTCAGAACTTGAAGTATATCAACCTGCCCCTGTAGGTGTCGAACACTATCTAAAAAACACTAACAAGACTGATAAACAATCACAGGAAACAGAAGTACAGTCTGTGAAACTAGCTGCTGGATGTGTAAATCCTTATAGGCGAGATGTGTTATCACCATTCATTAATTTTAACGGAGATGACCAAGTAAAATCCTTGCAGGATACCCCTGACCATGATGAAACTGGGAATTTCAATGCTGGAACATGCATGGGTGGTCCTATAAATAATGTGCACCTTCTCCCAGTAGATAAAATGGATGGAGAGCAAGTATCAAAGGAAACCAGTGAACCCTTAACCAAAGAACAGAGTCTTTCTGGAAATGCTGCTCTTCAGGATATGCACAACACCTCTATCACATCTTGCAGTGTACCAAAATTAAAGAGGACTGTTAAGCCTGACTTGAAGTGCGAAGCAACTTTTGTGGTCTGCAGTCCTATGGCTGAGGAAAGCGATTCTGCTCTATGTACTTCAACCCCTAAAGAACCATCGAAAAATACAACTTTTTCTGTTTCAGCTTTGGCAGAACTTGGAGACGAGTCTCCTAAACTAAGACCAAATGAGGCGTTCGTAGGAGGGCATAGTAGAAGGCCTTTGCTTAAAGGTAGTTCAGGTCAAACTGCAGGAAAACCAATGGGCAGGTCTGCTATTGTGTCAACAATAACCAAAGCGAAGAAATCTGAGATTGTTAGTTTTCCCAAACCTAATTTCAAAAATGTTAAGCCAAAGGTTATGTCTAGACCTGTGCTACCGTCAAGAGACAGTGCAGCATTAAAACAGTCTCCCCAGTCCCCCCAGCTATCAGCTGTCTCCTCATCTTCACTAGTTGCTTCCCCAAGGCAATTGTCCCCCTCTATGAAAGTGCCGAAAAAGAAAATAGATCTAGCTAAAGATACTAAAGTGGAATTGCCTGTGAATAAGCTCCATAAGGTACATCTTAACAAACACCTCTTCACTAGCCAAGCCATACATGTCACAACGCATCCCAGAAACACTTCCCACAAGGCTTCAAAGACACCTGCGTTAAAACAGAATCCGGAAGACATTGGCAAAGCAAGCTCTACCCATTCAACATGCTCCTCTGTTTCTGCTGGGCTTCCAATGTGTGTAGAGAACTCGAAAGAGATGCTGAATGATGAAATGGAAAGTTCAGACTCTTTAATGCAGCCCTGTGCTCAAAACACCTACCTGGCTGGAGGTGAAAAAGAGCAAAGCAGCAACATGGGAGTTCCTCTGGAAGCAGCCCTATTAAAAGATGTGGCAAATGAAACCTTTGACCTGGACTCTGTTCCTTTGGTAAGCTTTTTTCTTTACATGCTTAATTGTACCTTTGAAAAAGGGAATTCTGCATTGCACAATGCTGAGTGGAAATTGTGGAATGGGCTTTGTATCTACAAATATAACTGTAGTGTTGATTTCTGAGATGAAGTCCCTTCCCTAATAAAGGGAGCAAAGAAATACTGTTTTACAAACTGGTTGCACTTGGCCTCAAGTGTGATTTGGTGTCTTCAGCCCTCATCTTATTCCATGGTATAAATTTTTTTTTTTGTAAAGTCATTTTACAACAATGCAGTTGGTAAGATTTCTAATAAAAGCAAACAAGTCTTAATTTAGTCAAACTGCTAAAATTGCATAGCGTAACTTGGTGAGGTTTTTCTAAATAGAGCTCTTAATAGGTGGCTTTCTCAAGATAATTCTAGTAGTGCTGTAACTTTAAATACAGGATAGATTAGAGGATAAATTGCTGTTTTCAGTGTTTTCTTTTAAAACAGGCTTTAGAACTAAATTACACTTTTTTAAATTTACTTTGTGCATATGTTAACAATAATACTAAGTCACACAAAACCCAAAGACCAACAAGTTGGTCAAGCATTTTATTTTTAACATCTTAATTTAACTGTCTGCTTTGAATAATTTGGGAGTTTGTTTATTTGAAGTAGAACTGGGACTCATTAGGATAGTTAAGAGTAGCCAGGAAATATTTCTCATGCAGAGGGCAAATACCTGGTTTTGGGCATTTGGCCAGCTGGAAGGTGCAAACTTCGTGGCCGGGAGATATGCATGTGCTGGTTGGTTGGGAAATATTTTGAGATGAGTCAGCTGCCTGTCAGGAGAAATCTGCTGCTTTCAGATACTCTGGAAGAACGTTAAAAGAAAAGGAATGGTGGGAAAGAAAGGAAGTGCTTCGGGGTTGGTTCTACCAAGAACTGGGGAGGTATGCAGAGTTGGAGTTTGGATGCTATATGGAGTCCCTCCTGTTGTTTGCTTGTGGGTACAGCAGCTTATGTTAAATTGGTGAAACAGCGTCAGCAGCTGTTACCAGTAAAGCTGGCGTTGTCTGAATTTTTGCCAGGCTCTACTGATTTGCCAGAAAAACTCCAGTTGAGCTCAGTATATGGAGGAAGCTACTTCAGTTAAAACAGAAGCATCTATCCATTTTTGAAACATTACAGAAGAAATTAATAAATAATATTATTTATTTATTATAATAAATAATTTAACTTGAAAACCTAAATGAACATGACAAGGATGGTCTATTTTAATTCTGAAGTCTTTCAGAGCTCGGATTCTGCTTCACCCCTTCCTTTTGGTGCTGAGGGTTGGAGAGAATGCTTTTGATTCACCCCATTGCCAAGATGGAAACCTTTGTGATCTTAATTGTTCTGTTGGTACCTGAAAAATCAATAAAGCAAATTATATAAAAAGTGCAGTAGACTGATCAGCTGGACTAAACTTAAGTGTTCTTCTGAAAAGTACAGATTAACTTCTGAAAATGAAGATGAGGTTTGGAGTCAAAAGTGGAAAGTGCATTAATATGACCAAATTGCTGTGTATTGGCTTGAGTCACAGAAAAGCATACAAAGAGCTTTATGTTCTTATGAGTTTACCATTATAGGCCTAACTTTCCAGTGAGAGTGGTCATGAATTAATGCCTATATAGACTGAATTCTGTATGAAAGGTAGATGAGTGCTACATATAAACTCGTTGTTTTAAACCTGTCCTGTGTCCACTCCTGAATTTGGTTTATCTATGGCACCTGAATGTGAAAGATTTTAACCTGTTTACATGTTGTAACATAAGACCTAGACCAGGAAATGTATTGTAAGGGCTGTGAAGTTTCAGGTTGTACAGGAGAACTAACTTCTCAGTCCACCAACTTCTGTAGCTGTTTGGTAAAGAATTAATCTTGAGATTAAGTGCAGTCATGTAATTGAACGGGTTAATTAGAGTTTTGGGAGGAAGAAGTTCTGATGCAAAATGACCTCTGTAACCTCTTCAGTGTGTTTGTCATTACCAGTGATTAGTTTCAAACTAATAGGTTTGTGTTGCTGAAGGCCATTGAGGAGACAGTTCTTCAAGTTCTGAACTGCAGATGTGGACAATGTGACAGCAAACAGCTAAGCATATCTCTTACCTGTGTGGTCAGTATTTCATTACAGAGGCTGGAAAGGAAGATCTTCAGCTTCTTATAGTGCTGGTGTCTGTGTGGATGTTTTATTGTGTGTGTGTTTGTTTTTTGTTGTTTTTTTTTTTTTAAAAAAAAAAAAGAAACAGATGCTTCCTGTCAAAGATGGGACAACACAAGAGAAAAACGTAACGAAGAAAGGCCCAATCACACTACGAAGTGTATCAGCTCCCAAGATTAAAATGGTGCCATCCGTGTTGCCCTTGAAGAGAGGATGTGAAAATAAAACTAGCAGCACAATTAAAGCACCTTCTCACAAAGGAGCTGTTCTGTCATCAAGCTCTGGTAAGACATTTTTTCACTGGAATACTACCACTTAGCTAGCTTCTTAAAATTAAGGTATCGTATTTAATGTACTTTATGACAGAACTTTTAGGACTGCACAGAGCTGTATTTTGGGTGGTAAATATGATTCTGTCTAAATAGCAAATTGCTAGTATGGGGTGGGGGGGAAAGGCAGGTTACACCTCATCCTTGTAAAAATCTCATCTTGTAACGAATGTGTCTAGGAGGGTGTGGTGCTATTAGGAGAAACAATATTTTAAATATTATTATTTATAGTTTGGTTATATAACAGTACTTTGCAGAATTACAACTAAAATTACTCAAAAGATGTGAAAGTGAGGAGGAGAAAATACGGAGCTCAGATACAAAGCAGTTACAAAAAGCAAGTGTATGCTATTCCAACGGGAATAAGCCCTTATTTCAGGACATAACATATTTTGTTAAACCTAATTTTAGTACAGCTCTATAGTTTCTAGAGAGGGGAGAACATAATTGAAGGAGAGACTACTGCTTGAGCTGCTAATTAAGCTTGGACTGATTAACACCAAAGGCTGGGGAATCTCATATCTAGTCTGTAGCCTGCTGTTCAAATCTGGTGACTGGAAACTACATTCTGTAACTGTTTTGTAGAGATTCAGAAATGCTGTTGTAGGTTATATGCTTTTTATAACCAAGTGTGGCAATATAGCTAATTGTAAAGGTAACCTGGCTATAAATGACTATGCTACAATAAACTGTAATCTGGAAAGTGTGCACACCCAGCTGTACCCAGTAAAACCTGTTCTTCTTTTTTTTTTTTTTTCAGCCCACTTAATCTAAGATTATTAAACAGTTCAATTATATGCAGGTAGTGAAGCATGATAAAATCTGTATCTGTAGTCCTTTATACGATGAGTCCCTCAAAGATATAGGCTATTCCCGTGACTTGAGCCTTGCTAATGTGAGGGACTTCCTCAGTGAACTAGGCACCTACCTATAAGCCACCAATCTCTTGGAAGACTCACCTCTCTAAATACCAATTTAGAGCTTTCTATCTGTAATTATGGTCTTAGGAGAACTGAGATGGATATAGATATAGGTGTATATTTGTCCCTTAGATTATTAATCCAGAGTAGATGTATGACGCCATCACTAGAAATAAATGCAAGCATGGCTGGGTTATAGGACTAACTTCTTCCTTTCATTAAGAAAAAGTAAAATTGGATGCACTTTCAAAAGAAGAAGTTATTTGCTGTTGAAAATAAAAGCCTTCACTAAGTTTCTTTAGCTAAACCTGTCATTGCTTGACTCACTGTGTGTTGATATTATGGTAGTCAGTGGAATACCTTCCAAAATTTTCCTATTGGAAGAAGACTGCTTAAGGTAAAGGCATGAAGCAGCACCTCAACATTTCAAACCCTGTGATCTGATGAAACTGGAACGTCAGTGCTGCACATGAGAATTTTTTTTTTCTCCACGTCCTGTCCCCAGCCCCCCTGCCAATGCCCACCATTTCTAGCGCATTTTACCCTTCATTTTGCTTATGCAATGTTTTGGTGCATTAAACTATATCAGGTTAACTTCCCCATCTCTTGCCAAGGGAATTCTTAAACATGTTTATTTGCTCCCTGGTAAACACAGTACTGACGCATATCAAAGGTGGGAGAAGCAAGGATGGGGAAAGGTAGGAGTTTCTTGGTATTGCTACCAAAGCCCTGCTGTATTATGTGACCACATCTTTCAGGTAAAACCCTATCTACTCCTGCTTACCCCATCTGTTTTTAAGTAAAACTGTACATACGCTTACTGTGGCCAAGTGTCAGCTTGTAAACCAAACCCAGTTGTCTGCTGCAGCTAAAGCCTTCCCGTGGGGAATAACGATTTCTTCTAGTTAAGTCACTTAACTCTTCGGTAACTTGTGCCTTGGTATAATTCCAGCAGCACAGATAACTAACTCAGTAGCTGTACAGTTGTTTGCTGTCAGGATTTCTCCAGACTACAGACAGACTAGCTAAATCCGGGATGGAAAGGACTTCTGAAGGTCACCTAGTCCAGCCCCCCTCTGCCTGTAGCTGGGTCAGCACTGAATTCAGACTGGGTTGTTCAGGCATTTGTCAAGCTGAGTCTTAAAACTGTCCAAATCCTAACAACCTCGTGGCTTCCTGAGGTGCTAACATAAATGCAGCTGATTCTTAACCAGTTGGTGGCTGTGTTTAGATCATTGGGTAGGAAGACAAATCAGTGTAGTGAGTCCATTATATACTCTGAACAAAAGAAGCGATGGTATAGCTCTGTGTCGTTTCTCACACATGTATGTTGAGGGAGAGAAGTGGTCCATGTTTCCAAGTATTAGTGTATGTATTATTCCCAGAATAATCAAGAGCTTGTGAACAATGGATTGTATTATGCACTGTCATTTTGAGTGTGAAGCAGGAAACTCCTCTGCAGCCAAGAAACAAAAGAGAAAGTGCCCTGTATAAAACACCAAGATCCTTGCAACTTGGCAGGAATTGAGATTTTGGTAGGGCTTTTTTTCACTTGTAAATGTAAACTTTAAGCTTTCAGTGGTAATGCACTAACCCAATAGGAAGCATGTCTTATAAGGAAATTCCCTGATCCTTTCCTGAACAGGAGACAGCAGAAGGAAAGGAAAACTCCTGTCAAGCATTATATTTTTGTGAGGTTATTTGCAGAAATAAGATAGAAATAACTTCTTTATTTCAAAATGGTTGCTGACCACTGTTCACCAGTATTGGTATATCTTGCCTGGATCTTGGGAGTTTTTGCTGAATTAGAAATCGGTTCTCTAAAAGGTAAGCCCAACTTGATTCAGTGTACCAAAATATTATTCCCCTGCTTACCATTAAAGATTTCTGGAAACTAATGGAAGCCATGTAAATCACCTTTATAACTAAATTCAGTGTTTGTCAAATGGTGAAGCCCCATTTCTGCAGCAAATCTAGAAATCCGGTCACAGTTGCAAGCTAGACACCTCAAAATGATTTCTATAACTATTTGTCTCCATTTCTCCATAAGAGAGAGTGACCTGTAATCACATACTCATTCTTGAACAAAAATCTTAATTCTCTGCGGCTAATTTTTCTATGGTGGTGTGCATAGATTTCTGTAGTACTGGATGGCAGGCAGTACTATGCCTTTTGCTATTTCTCAATTAGTGAAAACATTTATTAGAATTCAAGATGCAGAATAAAGTGTTTAAGTTACTTGTTTTTTACTGGAAGGCATGTGTAATCTTGGAGCCCTGGTTCAGGACTTTGAACCAATCCTGAAATAAAAGTAACTATTGTTTTTGTTCCCAGCAAATGCACACAGCCTTCTAATTGGAAGTACATAACCACTGTAGAGGAGTAATAGCCTGCTAATAGTTGAGGTATTATGGTTTGGGACAAGTCATGTCTTTCTCTCACTTGAAGGGAGGAGTGGAAGGGGACGGAGAAGCCAAGGAACTTTGGTGGTCCCATGGAACATCACTGCAAGTTCTACTGTCAGCCTGCCCCAGCAACCACATGTTACTGCCCATGCAGTTGGACGGAAGCACTGTGACAGTTTGAGCCACAGGACATTTTGAATTGTGTTTGAACTGTATAAAATAGGGATATACATTATTTACTTCAGATCTAAAAATGTAAATGCCCACCACTGCCTTTTTTTCTCCTACTGCTCACTACAACTTACCTTTAAGTATGTAAGGGAGAGGAGCTTTACTTTATGCTAATACTTCATCTCCACTTCTGCCTTGAAATTATACTCTTGCTTTAAATTATTTCATACTGTATGAAGCTTCACATTGTTGTTGAGGTCTTAGCAATGAGACCTCTGTGAAGCCTTATGTGTAATTTTAATGATTTGGGGATGTGAAAGCATCAAAAATATTATTCCCCTACTTACTGTTAAAGATTTCTGGAAACTAATGGAAGCCATGTAAATCATCTTTGCAACTAAAATGTCTTTCACTGTCTGACAGTATTTCTGACATTGTGGGTACCATTTTGTCTCTGATTTAAGTCACTGATACTCAATTAGCAGAGTTACAGCCCTGTGCTTTACTGCTCTTTTCTGTGAATCTAATCCAATGGTACTCTGTCTTTCTCTTGCAAGTATTTTCATAGAATTTAGAATAATGAAAACTTGGGTAGAGTGAAGCTCGACAGTCTGAATACTGTGTTCCTTGAAGAAGACTTTGGACAAGTGAGACCTTTTCCTTATGAAAAGTTGATCATACTGAAGGACTTTTCTGGTGTTCTGCAACTAACTGAAGCATGGGAAAAATAATTTCCCATATGCTATTGGGAATATGTTTAAGTTACATTAGACCACAGCAGGTTTAGTGATACTTTGAAATACTGATTTGTTTGTTAGTTCATAATTGCTAAATTCCGTTGGTTGAATTTTGGCTTAATCTTTTACTTAAATGTGTAATTCAGAGAAGCTTCCAAAGTTAAAACCAGAACAGGCTGTGACAGATTAAGACTTCATTATTGAATATGGTGGCTGTTTACTGCACAAAGAAAGGCTTTTCAGATGGAAAACTGAAACCAAATGGTTTCAATGGGTCTTCATACGGCTGGAAACGTATATAAGCTTGGTAATTCAGGACTTTTTGGTATAGTCTTTCACAATACTAGTGAAGCAGAATGAAAACAATTTAGTTCCAGTAAGCATTCCCACAATCATTGAGTCTCTGTTCTTTCACTGAACCGGGAGCTAAACCAAACATGGTTACTGCAAATCACTTTTCAGCTTGTTTCATTCCTACTGTCTACCATGTGACTCTTAAAGTTGGATTGACATGCAACCAAGAAGAAACAAAATATATTAAAAGGCAAACATAACTTCCAGGTTCTCTGGCCTGAAACAGGACTTTTTTTCAAAATGCTAGAGTGGAGAGTTACTTGTAAGGGTATCCAAGATTTCTCATGAACAAATCTGAAATGCACCAGGGTCTACAAATTAGGCTTAAAATTTAGTTTCAACCAGTCTCTTCATTATTTTTTTTCTTT